TGTGATTCCCCTTGGTGATCAACACTTTCCCAAAATTATTGATGGAATAGAAACAGATGTACGAGAGGGAATTTATCATGCAACTGGCACTGGCACAGATTCACATTATTGTCGTAGATATGTGCCGATAATTGCTTCGGGCTGTAGTATCGGAAACTCAAATAAAATCAGTGCGGGAACCTTAGGAGCATTTGCAAAAGATAGCACGGAAAATACCTATATTTTGTCGTGCTAACATGTCATCAGTTTGAACGATGGTACTGAACAAGAATTAATTTATCAACCGGCGTATATTGACTATGTAGGAATGCTTAAATATGAAAAAGAAAAAGAAACCGATATGTTAAATAAAGCACAGTATAAATTTAAAGATAAAGAAGCAGCGAATTTAAGTCGCACAATAATCGAGAAGATTGAAAACGACCTTAGAATTGCGAATAAAAAGGACACATTAGTTGGGTCGTTTGTCAAAGGATTTCGTGATAATTATGAAATTTATGGCAAAAATTATGGAGTTGATGCCGCCATAGCTTTACTAGTATTAACAAGCAATGGTAACTTTCGAAACTTTGATCCAGAAGGTTTTTGCATATCGAACACCACATTTAAACTACTGTCATATGAACCTATTACTCTTTCATGTACCATAGATATTATCAACAACCTTGATTCAATCGATATTTCGCAACCTGTATTAAAAGTTGGACGAACATCCGGACTGACTATTGGACAGATAAAAGAAACAATTTCATCATCAATTTTGTTAAGTGGAGTTCATAACATATTTTACCAACAGGAGAGAATATTTGGGCGTTCCCTTTTAGAAGCTATCAAACACAAGGAGAAAACTGTATTTCCTCCTAAATGGTTAGATAGACAAATTACAGTAAAGAGTAATGGAGTATTTACGGAAGAAGGTGATTCTGGTAGTATATGGTTTAATAAAAGTGGAGCAGTTATAGCAATGGGTCATGGGAATTTATCTACAAATATTGCAATTTATTCCATAGGATCGCCAATACATGCAGTGGAAAAAGCTCTTAATATAAGTATTTGGTTTGGTAAATAGCACATTATATAAACAATTATTCTTTGCTGGGAAAAAAATTTAATGGATGAATTGCTTTGTAATTTATTTTGCTATATAATCATTTCAGACTAATGGCTATTTGTCTATTTTTGCGTAAATAATTTATTTTGTATGATGCAATTTGAGATCTTGTTATTGAAATAAAGAACATCGCATTGATTTACACATTTTAATCTGAAAAATAAACATTTTAACATTAAAAAATCGACAAAATAAAAAGGATTATCACGTGATTAAGTATAAATCACAAATGCCATTATTATTCTTATTTAGAAGTAAGTTTTTTCTAGAATTTTATAATAGTTTTTTTAAGTTATATATGGTTCCATTTTATATTTTATCAATAATTTAAAAAACTTTAAAATTCAAAATAATGTATTTAATTTTATTTTTAACTTATTAACTTATAAAATTTCAAATATCAGAAAATTATTTCTTTAAAAATCTTATTAACTTATATATTTATATAAAGCTAAAATAGAAAATTCTATAAGAATTTGTTATTTATATATACAGTACATGTTACATAAAAACACTACTATATATTTTCTTATTTTATACTTTAATATTAATTATTTTATACTATTAAATAATTTTTTTTAATATTAACGTTAATTCAATCAATAAACTAACTTCTAATATTTTAGAATTTTACTTTTTCTAATAAGTTTTAATTTATATTAATAATTATCTTATTAATTTTAAATATTTTAAATATTATATAAAAATTATTTAAATTCACATTAATATCTTTTTATATTAATTTATATTTTACTTTCATTAATAAAACTTATAAAATTCTTATTTTTTAATCTTATCTAATATTAATATTATATTGATTTACAAATTTATTTACTTTTTTACAATAGTTAAAGTATTTTTATTTAATTTATTAATATAGTATAAAGTAAAGTTTTAAACACATTTTAGTAAAAGTTAAAACTTTTAGAAATTATTTTGATAGTTTTGATAGGTTTTAATATATTTTGACAATTTTAATAAATTTTAATGAGTTTTAAAAGTTTTGGCAATTTCAATAACAAACTTTATAAAATTTAATAGGTTTAATAGATTTATTTATATTAATAAAATAAAAAATAAGGTTTAAAATTTGTAAATATAGAAACTTGTTAAAAAATTAAAAGAATTATCATATAAAGATAATAATGATATAGATTAAAATCAGATTATTTTTATATTCATGATTTACTTAATTTTAAAAATCAGAAATCTAAATATCAAATCTGATTTCAATCTCTATTTTAAACTAGCAACTTATATTTTATAATATTACATATAAAAAAACTTCAGATTTTTTTAAAGTTTAATAAATTAAAAATATATATATCTAGTATAAATAATAATATTATAAACTAATACTGCTATATTATTTTAATTTATTTTTTTATAAAATTTTATAAAAAGATAAAGTTTTATTTTTTAATATAAGAATATATATATTAATATAATCAAATAACAATTAAAAAAAAAATTGAAAAAAATTAAGCCGCTAGTCATGGTCGGCGAATTTTCATGAACTTCTAGAATGTCGATCATTTGCCGATCATCACTAAAAAAAGTAAATTAAAAAAGAAAATAAAAAGATCGCGGGGGTAAAAAAAAATTAAAAAAATATTGAAAAGATCGCGAGGGTAAAAAATTAAAAACGAAAATTAAAAAAAAAGAAATTAAAAAGATCGGGGGGAGGGAAAAAACAAAAATAAAAATAAAAAAAAAAATTAAAAAGATCGGGGGGAATATAATAAAAAAAAAATTAAAGAATATAATTAAAAAAAATAAAATGATCGAGGGATAAACTTTATCTAGACCGTTACGAACAAATAATTAATAAATTTTTGTCACTTGAAAATCATAAATTGCTAATTTTACTAAAAAAATTATTTCGCAGGTCGATCTAGACAGGGGGGCCCCAACCATTATAATCTAGCTTT